TGTCCCCAAGGTGTCCCCGGAGTCTCCCCAAAGTGTCCCCTTGCTGTCCCCGCTCTGTCCCCTCGCTGTCCCCTCCCTGTCCCCTCGCTGTCCCCTCGCTGTCCCCTCGCTGTCCCCGCTCACCCTCTCCGTTGGACTCCAAGCGTGAGGCGGTGTTGACGGTGTCCCCGAACAGGCAGTACCGCGGCATCTTCAGCCCCACCACGCCCGCACACACCGGGCCTGCGGGCCACCCGCGCCTGTCACCCCTGTGCCACCGCTGTCCCCAAAGTGCCACTGTCCCCGTGTGCCACCCCTGTGCCACCGGTGTCCCCACAGTGCCACTGTCCCCCTGTGCCACCCCTGTCCCACCAGTGTCCCCACAGTGCCACTGTCCCCCTGTGTCACCCCTGTGCCACCGCTGTCCCCACAGTGCCACTGTCCCCTGGGCCCCCCCTGGGCCACCGGTGTCCCCACAGTGCCACTGTCCCCTGGGCCACCCCGGGCCACCGGTGTCCCCACAGTGCCACTGTCCCCCTGTGCCACCCCTGGGCCACCGGTGTCCCCTCCCAGGACCCCAGTGGTGCCCCCGTCCCCTCTGGCTGTGTCCCTGTCCCTGTCCCTGTCTCTGTCTCTGTCCCCATCTCTGGCACCATTCCCATTCCCATTCCCATTCCCATCCCACTGGTCTGCACACTGATGCCCATTCCCGTTCCCATTCCCATTCCCATTCCTGTTCCCATTCCCATTCCCGTCCCCATTCCCGTTCCCATTCCTGTTCCCATTCTCATCCCCATTCCCTTTCCCATTCCTGTTTCCATTCCCATCCCCATCCCATCCCGTTCCCACCGGTCTGCACGCCGATGCCCGTTCCCATTCCCCTTCCCATTCCCCTTCCCGTTCCCATTCCCGTTCCCATTCCCGTCCCCATTCCCATTCCCGTTCCCATTCCCGTTCCCATTCCCGTTCCCATTCCCGTTCCCGTCCCCATTCCCATTCCCGTTCCCGTCCCCATTCCCATTCCCATCCCCATCCCCATTCCCATTCCCATTCCCGTTCCCGTTCCCGTCCCCGTTCCCACCGGTGTGCATGCCGATGCCCGTTCTCATTCCCGTTCCCATTCCCAT